ATACAAGATTGTGGGAAAGATTCAGTGAAAAAGAATTTAACTTAGTGCCTACAGTATAATTAGCAGCGTATCTAGTTCACTTATTTGATGGGGATGGGTCTGGAAAAGCAGCCGACTGAGACTTACCTTTGACGAATTTCCAAATGACAAGTTCTCCATTCAAGTCCTAAGCCTCGGGAAAACTACAGGAACAAAATGATGTGGCAGTATTACCTATTGTGACCACTGCACGGGGATTTGCATCAGTGCTACAGCATAAGTTATTTCTCCAACTGAACCCCTCCGCTTCTTCTCTAGAAGGCTATAAACTCCAATAAAAGAAGAACTGTTTTCTTTTTCATCCTAGTGTCTGCACATGGTTGACTGACTGACTGACTGACGGACCGGGCACAGCTGACTTTCCTAATCCTTTCTCCTCAGCATGAGGGACTACACTCTCTAGCTTGACCAGTTTCAAACACCCAGCAGTGCCCGTGCTGATGTGGAAGGAGAAATAGCCTGCAAGGTATTTTAAGAATATCTATGACTAGTCACACTCCTTTGTTCATAATGCGGCATTCAGGGAACCCAGGTCCCTCCCCAGCCCCTCATCTGGAAATTTTGTCCAGCCGATCAGTGAGGCAGAAGAAAGACAAGCTGAGTTCCTGGAGGTTGTTCATCTGCTCAAGATGAGTGAGAAAAGTTGAGAAGTTTCTCTGCTTACAGGATTTTAAAGTGATTTTAGACAGACTAAGTCTGTCCAGGTGGATCCTCGGTGCCAAAAGGATGTTGACTTCACCCAAATAAGCCTGATCTCCTTCCAGGTGATCAGTGCGTCCCATTTCCAGAAACTGCAGGATGCTTTCATGGGCAGACACTTGATCAATTTGCAAATCTCTGCAGCAAAGGTGCAAGGACCCAAGGCTCTGCTCAACTTTACTCGAAAGGAAAGAAAAGAGTTGCCTTCTTCTCAGCGGAAAGGTCCTTTCTCAAGGGAAAGGCCCACTAACAATCCCATGCATTCCTTGGTTGGGCTGAGACTCAGACTCTAAACGTACAATTTCCAGGCACCTAACACCGTGCTTGGTTTCTTCTCCTTTCAGGATAGAGTGCTGAGATTAAACACAAGACTGAAAACAAAATGGAAATGTGCTCCTGATCTAAGAGCATGTGGTTCTGATGTCTGGGTCCTGCCTTAAACCTAGCACCCTCCGTTTCGGCCCCCTGTAGAGAGAGGAAGACAGAACATGAAAGGCAGCTGATTTTAATCTAACCCGGCAAGATCAATGAGGAGAAGCAGGGACAAACCCTTTATCTTTGCTCTTCACTCCACGTACAATCTACCAACAAATTTTTTTTTCCGTGCAAACTCAACATCTTTCATTATTTTCCCCAACCTTCCTTCTCCTCTGATCCTCCCCAGTCTCAATGCCCATGTTGTTCTTCTATGTAATCATACCCAGGAGGTAAATCCATCAATAGCATTCTCAGTCACCTCTATTCCATAATCACCTCTGTAAGACATTAGAGTCCTTAAGGTGACCTCAAGTGCTGGACCAACAACCTCACAGAGATTCTCAGCATTCACCGTCAACTACCTTTAGGAGACTGTTAGGCTATCCCCTGCCTCAGGCTCCAGCATACCCTCCTGATGACTCACTATGCCTCTAGTGTACATAGGGTTACCAAGAGGAAGAGTTCTGGGCAGGGAAGATATGCAGACCATCAGCCGTGGCTCCCAAGATTTCGTAGTGTGACTCTGTACACTCAGTGGTCCAACACGGAGACAACGGGAAGGCCAAATCCTCACCATGGCCTTCGGTTTCATCTCCTGCCCTCCCGAGAAGGCAATGATAAACAATGGAACATAGAGGCCCCATGGGAGCTCCTCAAGAGCATGGATAGCTGCAGGCTCTTCACTCAGCAGACCCCATGCAGCAAGCTCTAGCAGTGTGGCTGGCACCTTTTGGTCCATCTTCGTGAACCTGCTTTAGGGTGAGGAACATTAACAAATCCCGAGAAGATTTCCACAGTCTCTTGACTGCCACCAAGGACAGCAATGAATGAAATACACATTGAACAAATCTATGGTGAATCCAACAGCCACTTCAAGAGAACTATATCAGAATAGAAATAGACTTGTATGTGCATACAAATGTCTGTGTTTGTGTGCGTGTGTGTATGTGTTTGTACACACACACACATATACATTTAGATAAGATAAAATGCCATCCAAAATCAGCTGTAAGTCAGCAGAAGGCAATGTCTAACCACCCAGACACCTGCCTCCCAATGTTTCCTGTGAAAAGGATATAAACCAATCACAAAGGAAGATGATGTAAATCTATACAGAAGCCACACCCTCATCGTTACTTAGAAACGGATAATGCCAAATCTTTAGTAGTGAGTAAAAAGAGAAAAAGCATGAAATCCCAGCACATGATCTGTCATGCTCCCATCACTAGGCTTTGCGGCAAGCAAAGACAGACCGAGAAAAGCTGCAAGAGATACAGAGAAAGGAAGAGGCAAGTTGGTCTGAAACTACAGTTAAAATGACTGGGCCCTTACCAAGTCTAAAAAATACCAAAAAGGTGACCCAGATAATGAGAGCAGGGAGTATAGGGAAGGGCCTCTAAAATAGGTGTAATATAAACAGGTAGAGATGATCTCAGAATGCAGTCTTTGGGTTGGGTGCAGTTGCTGACGTCTGTAATCCCATCACTTTGAAAGGCCTAAGGCAGGAGGATCCCTGAGCCCAGGAGTTTCAGATCAGCCTAGGCAACATAGTGAGACCTCGTCTCTACAAAACCTTAAAACATTAGCCAAGTGTGGTGGTGTGTGCCTGTGGTCCCAGCAACTCGGGAGGCTGAGGTGGGAGGATCGCTGGAGCTCAGGAAGCAGATGTTGCGGTAAGTCGAGATCACACCACTGCACTCCAGCTTGGGCAACAGGGCGAGACTCTGTCTCAAAAAAAAAAAAAAAAAAAAAAAAGTACTCTTTGAAATGCACAGCTTCTGGGGAAGGGGAAGGGCAGACAGAAAGGGAGAAGTCCACTTTGGCACTTTGGTAATGATGGGGAAAAGAAACAAAATCAAAAAATGAAGAATCTTGCAACACATAGGAGAATCATAGAATCAGGGCACTCATCACTTCTTTGTCCACTGCCAAAACAAACAAACGAAATCAGTAAATTTAAGGCCTGAATTTTTCTACACTGACAGAAAATAGCACCATTAAAATAGGAATCTAGTAAAACAATCCAATATCATATAAATGAACAAAAGGAAGAATTCCTTACAAATCATTCCAGAAAGAGAAAAAGAGCAGAAGACAAAAGTTCACACATATTAAACAACCATGAAACAGATAAAAAAAAAAAACAAAACTGTAAGTCAATCCTCCAAACAGAATTAATTCCATTCAAACAAACATTTGAGATTATAAAACCTGCCTTGATTTAGAATATAATTTAAAACTCTAAACTCAGAAACGGACTTTAAAAAAGGTCTGAAGTAATGATTTGATATCCAGCTCAGCTGATCCCTCACAAATATCACGGTTTATAGAAAATCAGACAGGAACTTAGGAAATTATGTACCCATCAGCCCTTCCTGAGGACTCCACTAGAGCAAGGGTCTACGAACTATGGCCCACTGGTTGGAATATTTACTATATGGCTCTTTACAGAAAATGTTTGCTAACCTATATTCTAAAGGGTAAACTGGGATTGTCATTCCACAGGTAATGACAGGAAAATCTTCCCTAAAACATCTGAGGGTGACCTTTTGGTACCTAACACTAATATGAAGGTGGAGCAAGGAAAACGACTAATGTGCATTTATTTTATAGTTTGGAAAAAAGAAATAGTGCAAGGAAATTGAGAGAAATAAGAGGGATAGAAAAAACCATAGTAAACATTTTTTTTTTTTTTTCATAAGGCAGTAGATGAGTGTCAAAGGAGACTACGGGTTAAAAACCAACTACTGGACCAGATAGTAAAATGCTCAATAAGAAAACAGGTGCTAAAAATGTTTTTTTTTTTTTTAAATGACAAAGTTTACATGTTAACATTAAAACTGAAAATTCACAGTGAAGATATAATACTTAGGAATATTTATGCATAAATCACCATAGCATCCACCTTCGTAAGGCCAAAAAGTATGGAGGCGTTGAACCACGGTAGTAGTAGGAGATTTAATACATGGCAAGTCTCAGTACAAGGCAAATCCGGTGGTACAATAAAGAGAAGTATACAGAAAATCTAAACAACATAATTCATAAGATACATTGTATGTGTGTATATACACATAGGCATAGATACACACACACATGCACGCATAACTCTACACCTTGGAAATGAAGGATAAACCACCTTGTCAGAAGCTGATGGCACGTTAATGAAACACGATTATAATTATCTCACAGTGAAGACCTCATTAATTTCCATGAAGTAGAAATATTACACCCAACCCTTTGCAATCGTGGTGAAACAAAAGTAGAACTTACTAACAGAAACTGAAATCAGAAAGGGTCTTCTACTTAGAAAAAAAAAAATGTTTAAGCCTTCTGTTAAGCAAATGTTGAGATAAAAAGGAGACACAAACTGAAGTTACAGAAATATTTAAGAAGAGTGACAATGAGCGCTTACGTATGAGAATCTGTAGAAGATATTTAAAGCAGTGATTGGAGGCAGATTCAGACCGCTAAATACTCTGATCAGTAAAAATGAAAGAATAAAATTAAATAAATTAAAGCATTGCCTCAAAAATCTAATAGAAGAACAACCAGGGAATCCAAAAGAAACACAAATAAATAAGTAATATAAAAGCAGAAATTGCCAGTCTTGGTGGCTCACACCTGTAATCCCATCACTTTGAGAGGCTGACGTGGCAGGATCACTTGAGGCCAGGAGATTGACACCAGCCTGGGCAACATAAGGAGGCCCTGCCTCTACAAAAATAATAATAATGATGATAATTCATTAGCTGGGCGTGATGGAACATGCCTGTAGTCCTACTTACTCAGGAGGCGGAGGTTGGAAGATAGCCTGAGACCAAGAGCTGGAGGCTGCAGTGAGCTATGATCGCGCCACTGTACTCCAGACTGAGTGATCCAGGGAGACTCGGTCACTAAAATAAATGAATGAATGAATGAACGAGCTGAAATTGATAAGATACATAGTAGGAAATCAATATGTGTATATTTATTAGATCAACATCCTGTTTCATTTTAGTGGACAAACTCATTAGCTAGATTAATGAAAGAAGAAAGGGAGAGAGCACAAATACACAAAATAGTGAATGACAAATGATAATCATTTAAACAGAAAAAAAATGAGATTACTTTTGAAGCCCGTATACAAATAAATTTTAAAATACACATGAAATTGATAATTTCCTAGGATAATCAGATTATCAGTATTTTCACTCTAATGCTGGAAGGCTTAAATTGGCCAATTTTCATAGGAAAATTTATTAAGGAATGACTCCCACGGAGCACCTGGCTCACATGCTATTACAGGTGAATTCTAATAAACTTCAGAGATCAGATAGTATACCAGAGTACCAATGCTCTATAAATTATTCAACAGCCTTAAAAAGGAAATTTTCATAACTCCCTTGATGAAGCAAGTGTGACATGGGGAGATAAGTGTAGATGCAAAAAAGCTAGATAAAATATTAGTGAACAACATCCAACAACACATTTAAAAAATCCTAATATGCTTTGGCAAAGTAGGATTTATCCCATCAATGCAGGTTGGTTAGATATTAGAAAGTACCTTGATATCATTCACCATATTAATACAATTAAAGACAAATATCACATGGTTATCACCAGAGATGCTGAAAAAGCCTTTGGAAAATTCAACCCCTCTTTATGTTAAAAATTAGAAAAGCCTCAAGAAACTAGGGATCACAGGATGCTTTCTTAACATGAAAAAACATATATACCTAAGTCCGAATGCCAGTAACTTATTTATTGCGGTGGGGTGAGGGGGGGCACTCAAAGTTTTCCCCGGGGATCAGGAACAAGGAATGCATGCCTACTACCTCGCACCTATTCAATCTTGTATTACAAGTCTTATAGTCAATTGACTAGAGAAATCAATCATTCTCACAGGAATGAATTTCAAGAGCTAAAAAGCACAGCAAAGGAAGGAATCAGCAACGTGAAATGGCAACTTTCACATGGGAAAAAATAATTGCGAACCGTGTATATGAATAAAGGGTTAATATCCAAATTTTATAAGGAAATCATACAACTCTATGGCAGTAAAACAATCCAATTTAAACAATGGGCAGAGGGCCTGAATACATATTTCTCCAAAGAAGACATACAAAATGACTAACAGGTATATGAAAAAGTACTCAACGTCATTAATCATCAGGAAAATGCTACTATGAGGCAACCCCTTACAGCCAATAGGATAGTGATCATCAAAAAGCCAAGTGATAACACACATTGCTGAGGGTGTGGAGAAAAGGGAACCCTCGTACACTGCTGATGGGAATATAGATTGGGGCAACCATTACGGAAAACAGTATGGAGGTACCTAAAGAAATAGATTTCTTTTTTCTGTTTTAGAAATAAAATGGTAGTCCTACATTTTTCTATTTTAGAAAAAAATATGGTTGTGAAAAATAAAACTATTGTATGACTCAGCAACTCCTTTTCTGAGTGTCTACTCAAAGGAAATAAAATAACCACCTTTTAAATGTAGTTGATCTTTTAAAAGTACCTGAACTCCCATGTTCACTGCAGAATTAATCACAAGCCAAGATATGGAAACAAACTAGGTGTCCACGAAGGGACGGATGGGTACAGAAAATGTGTTGTATATTCACACTTTTAAAAGGAGATCTTGCCACTTGCCAAAACATGGATGAACCTGGAGGACATTATGCTAAGTGAAATAAGCCAGATACAGAAAGAGAAATATTGCATAATCTCACTTATATGTGGAATCTGAAAAAATAAAAGTAAAATAAAACTCAAATATACAGAGGCCGAGAATAAAGCCGTGATTACCAGGGTCAGGGTGGGGCAGAAGGAGTGGGAGGAGGAAAGGAGGAGATGTAGGTCAGAGGATAAAAAGTAGCAGATATGTAGGATGAAAGAGACTAGAGATCTAGTGTACAACATACAGAATACAGTTAATACAATTGTACTATTAAATAGGATGTGGCATTTCTGCTAAATGAATAGATTTTAGCACCCCCTGCTACCGAAACCAAAAATGGGTAACTATGTGACATAATGGGTATGTTCATTTGCTCCACTATAGTGATTGTTTTACTATTTATACCTGTCCCATAACAACATGTTGCATACGTTAGATATACACAATAAAACTTACATTTTATAAAAGAAGTAAAGCCATCTCTATGTGCAGGTGATATTATAGTATACCTGAAAAACCCTGTAGAAACAATGATAAATCAACTGAAACAGTAAAAGAAGTCACTAAGTATTCTATTGACGATTTTTGCATCAATGTTCATCATAGATATTGGCCTGAAATTTTGTTTATGACTTGTGTCTCTGCCAGGTTTTGGTATCAGGATGATGTTGGTCTCATAAAATGAGTTAGGGAGGATTCCCTTTTTCTATTGTTTGGAAAAGTTTCAGAAGGTATGGTACCAGCTCCTCTTTGTACCTCTGGTAGAATTCAGCTGTGAACCCATCTGGTCCTGGACTTTTTTTGCTTGGTAGGCTATTAATTGCTGCCTCAATTTCAGACCTTGTTATTGGTCTATAAAGAGATTCCACTTCTTCCTTGTTTAGTCTTGGGAGGGTGTAAGTGTCCAGGAAATTATCAATTTCTTCTAGATTTACTGGTTTATTTGCATAGAGGTGTTTATAGTGTTCTCTGATAGTTGTTTATATTTCTGTGGGATCAGTGGTGATACCACCTTTATCATTGTTTACTACATCTATTTGGTTCTTCTCCCTTTTCTTCTTTATTAGTCTGGATGGCAGTCTATCTATTTTCTTGATCTTTTCAAGAAACCAGTTCCTGGATTCACTGATTTTTTGAAGATTTTTTTGTGTCTCTATCTCCTTCGGTTCTACTCTGGTCTTAGCTGTTTCTTGTCTTCTGCCAATGAAATGCTGGCAAACTGAATCCAACAGCACATCAAAAAGCTTATCCCTCACAATCAAGTAGGCTTCAACCCTGGGATTCAAGGCAGGTTCAACATATGCAAATCTATCAACGTAATCCATCACGCAAGCAGAACCAAAGGCAAAAAACACATGATTATCTCAGCAGACGCAGAGAAGGCCTTCGACAAAATTCAACAGCCCTTTATGTGAAAAATTCTCGATAAACTAGGTACAGATGGAACATATCTCAAAATAATAAGAGCTATTTATGACAAACCCACAGCCAATATCATACAGAATGGGCAAAAACTGAAAGCATTCCCTTTGAAAACCAGCACGACACAAGGAGGTCCTCTCACACCACCCCTATTCAACATAGTATTGGAAGTTCTGGCCAGGGCAATCAGGCAAGAGAAAGAAATAAAAGATACTCAATTAGGAAAAGAGGAAGTAAAATTGTTTCTTTTTGCAGATGACATGATTGTATATTTAGAAAACCTCATTGTCCCAGCCCCAAATCTCCTTAGGCTGTTAAGCAACTTCAGCAAAGTCTCAGGATACAAAATCAATGTGCAAAAATCACACGTATTCCTACACACCAATAACAGACAAACAGAGAGCCAAATCATGAGTGAACTCCCATTCACAATTGCTACAAAGAGAATAAAATACCTAGAATACAACTAACAAGGAATGTGAAGGACCTCTTCAAGGAGAGCTACAAACCACTGCTCAAAGAAATAAGAGAGGACACAAACAGATGGAAAAAAACATTCCATGCTCATGGTTAAGAAGAAGCAATATCATGAAAATGACCATACTGTCCAAAGTAATTTATAGATTCAATGCTATCCCCATCAAGCTACCATTGACTTTCTTTGCAGAATTGGAGGAAAAAAACAAAAAACAAAAAAACAAAACTTAAATTTCATATGGAACCAAAACAGAGCCGCATAGTCAAGACAATACAAAACAAAAAGAACAAAGCTGAAGGCATCACACTACATAATTTCAAATGGCACTACAAGGCTACAGTAATCAAAACAGCTTGGTACTGGTATCAAAACAGATATAAAGACCAATGGAACAGAACAGAGGCCTCAGATATAGCACCCCACATCTACAACCATCTGATGTTTGACAAACCTGACACAAACCAGCAATGGGGAAAGGATTACCTATTTAATAAATGGTGTTGTGGAAACTGGCTAGCCATATGCAGAAAGCTTAAACTGGATCCCTTCCTTACACCTTATACAAAAATTAACTCCATATGGATTAGAGACTTAAACATAAGACCTAAAACTATAAATACCCTAGAAGAAAACCTAGCCAATACCATTCAGAACATAGGCATGGGCAAAGACTTCATGACTAAAACACCAAAAGCAATGGCAACAAAAGCCCAAATTGACAAATGGGATCTAATTAAACTAAAGAGCTTCTGCTCAGCAAAAGAAACTATCATCAGAACGAACCGGCAATCTACAGAATGAGAGAAAAGTTTTGGAATCTACTCATCTGACAAAGGGCTAATATCCAGAATCTACAAAGAACTTAAACAAATCTACAAGAGAAAAAAAAAAAGAAAAAAAAAAAAAAAAAAAAACATCGAAAACTGGGCAAAGGGTATGAACAGGCACTTTTCAAAAGAAGACCTTTAGGCAGCCAACAAACGTTTGAAAAAAAAGCTCATCATCACTGATCATTAGAGAAATGCAAATCAAAACCACAATGAGATACCACCTCATGCCCGTTAGACTGGCAATCATTAAAAAGCCAGGAAACAACAGATGCTGGAGACGATGTGGAGAAATAGGTACAGTTTTACACTGTTGGTGGGAGTGTATATTAGTTCAACCATTATGAAAGACAGTGTGGTGATCCCTCAAGGATCTAGAACTGGAAATACCATTTGACCTAGAAATACCATTTTACCCAGCAATCCCATTACCGGGTATATACCCAAAGGATTATAAATCATTCTAGTATAAAGACACATGCACACATATGTTTATTGTGG